TGTTTTGGTTAAACAAGGATAATGCTTGTATGTGTTGATGGTTTTGGTTAAACAAGGAAATTTTATTACTCTGGCTTTTTTTATAATATGAGAAATTTTTATAATTACTAATATTCCAAATAAATAATCCATTTTACAAAAATAAAATCAATTTGTAATTGAATATTCGGGTAAATAAAACAATTTAATAACATGAAACGTTTGCTATCTTTGTATAACAAACTGCTATAGGTAATTTCAGATAATGAGGTTTAATAACAATTATAAGAAGTTATTATAGGATTTAACAATTGCATAGTCAATGACGCTATCATTGTTTACTTAACTATAGCATATGTAAGATCCGCTATCGAACGTGCCGGAGCTATTATAACGGGCGCTGTGAGAGCGTTTAAGGGAACGCTATGGTATCAAACTAATAACGTTTAACGGCCGCTGTTAATACCCACATTTCCTGTAGTGAAAGAAGAGATTGAGAAGATGGTACAGGAAGCGGAGAAGTACAAAGCAGAGGATGAAGAACACAAGAAGAAGGTGGATGCAAAGAATGCTTTAGAGGATTACGCATACAACATGAGGAACACGATTAAGGACGAGAAGATTGCGTCTAAGCTTGATGCTGCTGATAAGAAGAGGATTGAGGATGCAATCGACCAAGCTATTGAGTGGTTGGAGGAAAATCAGCTTGCAGAGACGGATGAGTTTGAGGATAAGATGAAGGAGCTCGAGTCTCTTTGCAACCCGATCATTGCGAGGATGTACCAAGGTGCTGGTGGTGACATGGGTGATGCTGGTGGCATGGACGATGATGCTCCTACCGGTGGTAGCGGAGGCGCTGGACCAAAGATTGAAGAAGTTGATTAAGTTTCTTACTTCTCCTGTTATGGAGTTTCCTTTAATGTGTCAAAAAAAACAATAGAAAAATAGAATATCATATAAATTCCAATTCTTCTCTTCATGTATGTGGGCTGCCTTGATATTAAGTAAGGTGTCAAGGCGGTCGAAGAAGGCCACTAGTGGAAGCAACCGATGCTTTGGTCATTCAGTTTCATCCTTGCTGCCAGTCCGTGCTTGCTGTCATGCTGGAAAAAGCAAATAAATTTTACCTCGAAACTCTAAAACGACACTTATTTTGAAACAAAATTTTCTCTTCTAGAAAAATAATTCGAAACGGAGGGAGTATTATTTTTCTTGATTTTTAAAATAAATGAATCACAACATAAATATAAGTGAAAATGAGTTTCTCACAAAGTCATGAAAGTCTCAAATGAAAACGTTCCACCATCTTTCTCTTACTTTTTATTATTACTAGTTGCATACCCCCACGCAAGCGCGGGGCCGAGATGATTGATGTTTGCATGTGTTTTTTTCGGTTGTTGGTTTAGTGGATTCTTCTAATAATAGCAAATAATGATGAAATAGAAAGAATGTAGCAAGAGTGTAAAGTGAAAATATTGTATATATAATATGTTAAATGTCATTCATATGCAAAGTAAAGTTTATAGGAATAATTAAACTATAATATAGTTTCTAGTGAGTAGAAATAGGTGTCTATCTTTTTTTTATTCTTTTATCATATAAATAGTTTTTATATCAGAGGTCAAAACTTGATATAATTATTTATTTATAGTATTTATATTTATACTAAATGATTTATAAATTTGAAAATGACTTTAATTTAAGCTAATATGTGTTGTTTGGGTTTCATTAAATAGATTTTTTTGTAAGTTAGGATTTTGTACATGAATAATGTGGCATTTTTATTTACGACGTCATCGACTGTGGGAATCCATTCGCCGGAGTGTGATAAAAATGAAATTACAGTAACTATTAAAAATGTAAGAGAAATTACATATTTATTTTATAAATAATGAAAAATACTTAAATTTTGTTGTTTTTATTTTATTTTACATACATAATTTTTTGAAAATATATATTAGGAAATATGTTCTAATAAAAAATATATATTAGGACATGATAGGAGCCGTGTGGGACTCGTTTGTTTTTTTTTTGTTTTTTGGACTGTTCGTTTTTTGATCCATTTTTAATTGTTTTTGGATTTGAGTTCGTTAAACTTTAGGATTTTCCCACTATTCTGGCTTTAAACAATAAGTTCAGAGGAAAAAAACATTAAAACATTAAAACCAAAAAGCCCATATGATAATAGCCCAAAAAGAAAAAAAAAACAAAATACTTAACAATTAAGTGGTTTGAACCACTCATGATTACAGACTTAATTAGATATTTTAAACCACTCGGCTAATGTGTATTCATTGCTCATAGTCAATTTTGAAAATCTATAAGCTTTTAAAAATTAAACGTACGGGACCCACAAAATGTTGACTGGAAAATGTACTTTTATATATAAGATTATTGTGAGAAACTATTTGAGAGGCTTTCATTTCTTAAGTACATCTTGGTGATTAATCTAGTACTATATTACAAGATCCCATAAATTCAATTTTTATGAAATTATTACAGAAAATCTCAAAAAACTCATCAAGTACAAAAAAAAATTATATAGTAGTAAAATGTGTATTATAATAATAACAGTAATCATATGGGTTATATAGAGGAACAAAATACGGCCAAGCAGAGGCTTCCTGGTAAAAGATGCCACCACCCAACTACCTGCAAATTTTTTAAAGAAAACAGACATCAATAATCAAAAGAAAATTTGACCATAAAAAAAAAACAGACATCAAAAATCATCACACATTTATACCTTTTGTCCTAAAGATTCTACAGAACTTTTATTCAAGAAAAAAAAAGATTCTACAGAACTAGATAATTTACAGATGTTATAATATAACAAAAACATAGCTTCCATAGCCTTTATTCATGATTCTTAAGTTACCTATTTTCACTTTTAAAGATCAAAACTGGAGCTGGAAAATGATCATCATTGACTCCTAAACATACATACCTGATCAATTTATCTGGATATCTCTTTACTGATGTTGCTGCCTAGGCTTCAACCTAAATAAAACGGTCACTGAATCGTTAACTTGAGCATCTACCAATAGCTTATGTGATAAGATAATAATGGAGTCATCATACTCTGCACAACTATTGTTTTTTTACCTTCTCAGCTTCAGGAGAAAAGACTGCCTTCACCTCCTGAAACACATCTTCAATGGGCTTTGCAGCATGAATCTGAAGAGCCAAGTAGAAACAAAACAACACTTCATTACAACTCACAATTTTCTACCTTCATGCAAATATAGAAGAAAATCAGATGTTACCTTGCGAACTTTCCCCTTAGCTTCGTAGTACTGAATCACTGGTAAGCTAGATTCAAGAAATACCTTGAAACGCTTCCTTATAGTCTCAATATTATCATCCTCTCTCCCCTTCAACACATGCAACAATCAATATACATAGAACAAGAGGCTAGACAGAGCAAACTCACAGAGCTTTTCATAATCATATACTAACCTGGTTTCTACCCAACAGACGCCTCTCCATTTCTTCTTCAGGACAATCAAAGAACAAGACAAACTTTGGTTCAATCTCAGTCTACAAAAAGAACACACCAAAAGGCAATGTAATTAATTAAACTAAAAAGGAAGTAGATAGATTATAATGTTTACTTACAACTTTTTCAAATGCTGCTCTGTTCTCCTCATTGCGAGGGAAACCATCAATGAGGAATTTGTCATTCCCATTTTCCTCAATTGCTTTCTGCAGAAGCTTGATTGTAACCTCAGAAGGTACTATCTTCCCTTCTTTAATCATATTCTGGATCATAGTTCTGCAAAAAAAAACAGTTGGAATAGAACAAAACAATTACACAAAAAATAAAGTTAATGTATGTACAAGACAAAGCCGGAGAGTTAAAAGAACATACCCATTTTCAGAACCTGATTTAATCTCAGCTCTGAGAAGGTCTCCAGCACTAAGATGTGTGTAACCAAAATGCTCAACAATATAGGCACACTGTGTACCTTTCCCACTACCTGGACCACCTACTCAAACATATACAAGATATATATTAAGGACAATGCAATCTATGGCGTTAAGAACAACACAAACATGATGACAGGAAAGTAAACACAAATAAAAGACCTCAACTTACCTAGGACAAAAATAACTGTAGGTTTCTTTGCACTTGCCTCCTGTAGAAAGTACATTAAAAAAAAAAAACTTCAAATACCTAAATGGAACATTTTTAACTATTTTTTCACTTCCTCAATAACTAAGATTCCTTTAACAATAAAATTGGTGATTAAAGTCACATAGAAGAGGCACAACAGTCTTCTACACATACACTTATTGATTTAATATAATCCATTCAAAAGTGTAGAATCATTACCTTGTTTGCAGCATCAACAACGGATCCCATGGTACTAATAATCAATTCTTTAAAATATTACCTGTAAAGAGGAATTTAAATCATTTTCAAGAGAACTATTTTCATTAAAATCTCCATAAATGGACCACAAAGCGCAGATCCAAGGGAAAAATAAAGGTGGAAACTTTATTACACATGCCAAAGAAAGAATCAAGTGATGTAAGCATATATAAATGCTGACGTATATAAATCAACACACAAAGGAACCCAGATCCGACAGAACATAAAAACGACAACTTTGAAACAACTCAATCCCAAAAAAAAAAAAGATGTGATCTTTTGAATCAATCCATAAGAATATGAACTAAAAGCTGAAGAAACGAATCTATGATGTAATAAAGATGCAAACTTTGGATGAAATGTAAGAGATCGAGCATTTAACGACAATGGCATGAATGAAAGACACAAACCCATTATTACACAAGTGTTTGAGATTCAAAGACAATTTTTTTCAGACAGTGATTATAAGAAACTGTGAAAGAGACAATGGAAGAAAGATCTGCGAACCTGAAGCAAAGGGAAGACGGAGAGCTTTGATTAAACGCTGAAAGGTGAGAAATGGAGAAGAAGAGGCAAGGCTATATAAATATTTATATATTTTTTATACATTCCTTTTTAATTATTTATTTAATCTTCTGTTGGTTACTTTTTAAGTAACGTCCATGTGTCTGTTACACTTTTTGTTTTTTTTTTAATATAATACTTCATTTTTGTTGATTGACATTTCAAAATTAAGCACATAAATTATATTTATATTACTAATTTTATTCACTATTTTTAACTAATCACCAACTCAGAATATGTATGTCATACAACATAAGATATATATTAAAAAAAATTAAACTGTTATCTAATTTTAAACAAAAAAAAGTATCTAAAACATCTAAGTAGTAGTACTATTAAGATTGACAGAAGGAATTTTTGACAAAAAAAAAACTGACTTATATAATTTCCATAGTAGTTGAGAGGTTGTCATAAAATTAAATATTTAATAGTCAACATATTCATATATTTTTAGCAAAAAGGAAATATTATTCATAAATTCGAAATATGAGCATTAATTTACTAAAATTATAATTTTTAATTAGATGATTTAAGTGAATAAATAAGTTTTATTTTATATTATGAAGATCAGTAGCGACTCTGAGGAGAAGTTAAAAAAACATAGGTTTCCGGTTTTTTTTGTTATGTAGAATATCAACCAAAATATTTGATAAAACATTAAATAACTTAGTAGTTAAATGAAAATAAAAATAAAATGTAGGTAATAGATTCAATTCTTAGGTATAACAATAGATTTTTTTTATTAATTTTTTGGTCTATGATATTCAAGACCGGCAATGTGTGGATATTAAAAGCTAATGGTTGTCTCATCTGATCACTGTATTCCATAAAAAAAAAAAATCGAAAATATGAATCAACGGAGACAAGAACGATTTGGGACACCATGTTCAAGAAAATATGGACACATTTTTTTTATTAGACAATGTTTATGCATTAGATGGATTGTCCTTAGACCGTAGCGCCAAATAAGCCTAGCACATTGGCTTTGCGCATAACTGTAATAGTGTATGAATTAAGTGATAGTAATAGTAGAGTTGAATTTGTTTAGAGTTCTTGCTTTTGTGTCACCCTTCGATTTTAACGATACACAAGGTAGGTCTACTCACGTGACACATCGCTGATTTCCGCGAAACGTTTATTCATCTCGCTACAAAGCATCCCGATTGGTTAACATTTTTAAAATGGCAGAGTTCAGGTGGTGATCTCGTGATAAAACATGTATCATGATCTATTTTTGAATCACAAACCTAAAATATCAAGCAAGTATTTTATGTAAACCAAGCTTGACTTGCTCAGAAATTTTATCGGCTTGTTATTGACAATTACAATTTTGAAGCATGGATATTCAAAACTATATGTTATTAAGTGAAGGTTAACAAATAGACATTGTTATTAACTAGGTTTGGTCGCAAAAATCAAGATTATGAAGAATAGAAACAAGTTTAGAAATGGTTAGAGGTTTCTCTTGAAAGTCATTAAGGCCAGCTTCCATAAACTCTTTCCTCTCTTCTTCCTCAGCTCTAGTTGTTACTCCTGCTATCTTGCTCTCTATCCCCATCTCTCTTAGTCTCTTTGTCGCCTAATTAATAAAAAATCAATTAATACAAAAGAAATCCATTAGTTATAAAATATACATAAATGATTGATTGTGTTTCTGAGAAAATAACAAAAAATCATTAACATATATTCTTCTTTTTCATTTTAGTTGTCGTTTAAATTTTATAGCCACAGACTAAAAAATATATTTAATTTTAAATATTTTCAAATAAAAACATTATTATCTATAACCACATTTCAACAAATAAAAATAGATAAAGTTAATAAATTATACAATAAAATTATAATGACAACTATTTTGAATTTTTTCAACAATGACAACTAAACTGAAACGGATGGAGTACTATATCAAGTGAGTGAAGGATGATTTAATATACCTGAATACCATTCATGATTGGCATCTCCATGTCCATTAGAATGAGATCATAGTTTCTACCGGAACAATGAACGTCCACAGCTTCTTGGCCATTACAAACAACATCGTTTTGAATACCTAGACGGTCCAAGAGTTTATGATGCATCATTTGGTTTACCAAATTGTCATCGACCACCAAAGCTCTTAAGTTCGACTCTGCTAAATTTGGAATTTCACCAGCCATTTCAAGAACTTCTAAAAGAATATGTTTGTGATGGAAACTCAAAAACTCTGTTGCAGTCTCTATTTTAAAAGGAGAAGACAAGTTATATAATACAAAAACAGGATCAGCTAGATTGTTTCTGGATTCTGAGGAGATCTAGTGGTATTTTCCAGTTTTTATTACACCAAGATCCTTTCACTTTTCATGATACTTAGGGTTCAGATTTAGTTCAATTAATGTCAATCTCTTGAGATATTAATTAGCCAAAACACCATGTGATCAAAAGACATTAATAGCATATAATCACATATGATTATAACTATAGAGATGTTCTGCTAATTCTAGTAATAAATATCACATTATATGATTAACTTTTGATTCAGTTGTAATTCATAAAAGAAAAAAATTCTACATTTCTTTAAAAAGTTCTAAGATAATTAAACATCTACGTATTATTTGTTTTTTTTTAAAAAAAAAAAAACAGAATTGACAAAAATGATATGACAAAATCTTGTACAGATTGTATTTCTTTCCTCAAGTATATTATTTATTAGTTAAGTTAATAGTTAAATTCTGATAATTCCACAAACTTTTACCAAAAAGTATTGTAAATATTATAACATATATTTGATTTCTGACATTTTTATTATCTATTCGCTTTATAGAACAGAAAAGAAAAGATTTTTACAGAGGTTGTGGCCTTGACTGAACAATGTAAACATCTTCACCAACCAAACAACCTTCAACATCTTGTGCACATCCAAAGTTTCTTTCCAAGAAGAACCCAACCGAACCAAGTCTCTGACCAAGTTTCTGTCTAAACACTGAGTCAACCGTTAACCGTTTCTTGCTATAGTCAACAGTCAACCGAACATATTTGCCATCAGCAGGACCTTTACCTGACACAAGAAGCTCTTCACTAAAGTTTGCAAACGCTAAGGTCTGCACAGTCCCATCAAGCTTACCAGAAGCAAGTCTCCACGGTGTTCCTCTCGTCCCTGAAGCCAAAGTCTCACCTAAACCAGGAGCAATCTCAGCTTCCACGAGGTTGCGGCCTGGATCAGATGGACTCACTGTGTGGAGAACAAAAGATAAGTCAGGAGAAAGCATTTCTTGAACTAGAACAGCCATTGAAGCTTCTCTTTGAGATACACCAGCAGCTCTACGGCTCAGAACAGCTCTTCTTGTGTAGAGAGAAGCCCAAACTCGGCTAACTGAAGCAGAGAAGAGTGAAGGATCTGAGGGAGTGACGTTGGGGATTGATTCATAGAGTCCTGCTGCTGACATTCCAGCTAAGTCCTCAACGTTGGCGCTTGAACGAACAATGAGACGTGTGTCTTTGGGAAAGGCTTGGCTTATTGTGTTGATTGTTTCTTTGGGAAGTTGTAATGATTTCATCACTTCATGGATTTGATCACATATGTTGTCTAGTTTACCCTCTTCAGGTGTGGCGGTTTCTAAGTTCTCTAGAAGTGATGTGAACTTTTCTTCTGAGTTGCTTTGCTTTAAAGCTAACTCCATTGATCCAAAAGGTATGACAACTCCTGTTGGAACCTTGAATGATGCTGGAACTCCATGTTCACTGTGAACTGCAGATTCATCATAACAACTTTATTTGTTAATTTGAAAAGATTTATGTTGAATCAACCTAACCAAAAACCGAACTACCCAAAACCTGCAGGCCTACTCTTACCTCTAGTAGAAGCTGCTGCTAAAGATGCAAGAAGACCACATGCAGCAGCTTTCGAACCAGATGTTGATGCATCTGAATCAGCAAGTTCTATGATTCCTCCACTAGGGATATCCTGTGGACAAACATTTCCTATATCAGTATGCAATATGACTGTGAAGGGTAGGGAAAACCACGTAGATATCAAAAATTTGACCTTAGATGATGAGGAAACAGGTTTTGAATCTTTATCATCTACAGATACACTCTTCTTATCCGTTGTTTTGTCAGCATTGGATTTGGGAGTAAGACTCCTATCTTCAGATGAAAGTATCAGATTCACATGGCTTGGAGATGCTTCCAAACTGTAAGATTCATATTAAAAAGAACATTAGAGAAAACACATGAGCCCTCTTGGATAAGTCGGATAAAATTACCTCACATATTTTCCTACAAGTCGCCGTATATCAGCCACCTTTTCATCATCATCACATGTCACAAAGACTATTTTCTCCTGTGTGATGTGAAATGAAGAGTGTCAACAATGCATTTCTTTAGTAGAAAGTCCAAAAATGAAATAAGGAGGAAAAAGGTTATTACCTGCCGAGCTCTAACACCAAGGTGAGACAAGTGAGGCAGTTCCTGGAGAAGCATGACTCCTGCTATGTTCCCATTAGCAGCACTTACCTGTTAAAGCATCTTACGAGGTTATAATTTTTAGTATGATGTTACTAATCACGGTGAGGTTGAATGTTAGGTTCAAAAACCTCTTCATCGCCATCAGCTTTGTTGACCAATAGAATGATAGGACCACCATCAGTTGATGGTAATGAACCTGGTACAATGCTATCCACCTGCACTCACAAAACCCATAGAAAAACTTGCAACTGAGATTTCTCATCAAAGTTACAGAGCCTAATGCATAGCTTCAGCAAAGCATATGGTTCTAGAACACAAAATGCACTTGTCACTATTAGTATAAGTTGTACTGATGAAGAGTTCACACATAAACTCATCTTTTAAACTAGGATTGAGACCAGACATTATGAGTTAACAACCTAAGCTATGTATACATTTGGCGTCTCCAAGTACCTGAACTAATGTCCCAGAAGTGGATCCAGGTACAATGACGTCCCAGCCCTCAGAACCAAGTGTATTTCTTACAGCTTTTAGAAGAACAGTGCAGAGCTTTGAGATCTGAAAAATTATACTACAAGGGAGAACTGGTCAGAGGAAAATACAGAAAGAGAACAAAAACAATCTCAAATGATTTCATGAGGTTACTTACCCAGCACGAATCTCTGCTTCTGTATAGGTCTTGACACTGTTCTCTGGAATCCCTAGAGCTCTTCCTAATATCTGAAATGAGAAACACAACACGTTTCATATAGATTAGCAGCAGAGTGATGACTCGGTCTTTTTCTGGTGGAACAAAAAAATGTGGCCAAACGAGTATGACCTACAATAGAAGTTAAATCACTAACTAAGGCATGTGGTAATCTGTACCTCTACATTAGAAGGGAATATTTGAAGAAGTGAATCAGAATATTCTGCTGTTAATCTCCTTGCTCGATCCAGAGTTGCTTTCAGCCTCATGGACCAAATGGTTTTTCCATCCTCTTCCCCTGCATAAGACTTGAGTATAATCAGCTTCTAGTTACACAAAACGAGTTGAGATAAGTGAGAGAAGGAAGTAACCTTCTTTTTCAAGTAGGTCTCTCTCTCGCCAAGCTAGGAGTTCGTTTCCAATGGCTATACATTCTTCTTGCTTCCAACCAGATAGACCTACTTGGTGAACACCCAAGACCAAAGCATCAAGAGGATCATTCCAAGAGGCAACATTTTTCGATTCCACATCTTTTGCCAGCTGAACAGCTCCTCCCATAGTTTCAAGTGCATTGAGGAATCTACACAAATCATTGACAAGACATGAGGCAAAGAAATAAAGCAGAGGAGTTAAATAACAAGAAAATTTATGCAGACCTGCTTAGTAGAACAAAAAAGTAGTCCTCGAGGCCAATCTCACAAAGGCGCCACTAATCAAAAAGAGCAAACTATATAAACAAACAAATTGCTACGTTGATAATGCTGAACTGTATTAAAAAGCTCACCTTCTGGCGCATTGCAATGGCAGTATCAGGAGCATCATTTCGCAAGCCGCTATTAAGTTCCTTAACAATTGTTCCTCTTAGAGAAGCCAGAGAATGCATAGTTTTAATCAACTCCAAAACATTACTTGATTCTCCAGATGCGTCAAGGTGCTGGTAAATATAAACGTTGCAGTCAAGACTCATGAAGAGACTGCAATAACAAACTTTCCAATGATAGTGTTTAATATGTACACATGTCATACAGTGAGAGCTTACCTCTTTACATTCGAGAAACAAATTGAGAGCAGAAAGACCTCTCTCATCCATAGAAATTTTCATAGAATCAAGTTGTTCAGTGAGGCTGCAACAAGACACAAGAGAGCTATATAATCATAAACACTAAAAAAATAGCTTGTATTGGCTTCAGAAAATAATAGTTACCTTCCAGCATTAAAGAAATCTTTAAGCTCATTATGGAATATTTTGAACTGCTCCACAAAGTCTCCACTGTATTTTCCTGGAGTCTCAGTGATTCTCTCAAGCATTGCTTCTGTTGCAATTAGATCTTCTGGACCCGCATTCCTGTGAAGCTTGTTTTGTATGGTGTGCTTGATCTCTTGCTGGTACAAAGATGTGTTATAGAGAGTAACTCCTTAATAACCAAACAGCTATAACGAGTAGACTACTATTACCTTTAGATCATGAGGAATGTCATTGCGATGGGCGATGTCCCTGATTCTAGTTAGAGGGACAGACGCAGTAAACTCTTCTTTGAAAGAAGGCAAACATGGATGGATTTTCCGAGCAACAAGCACTTCCTAACCAAAAAAGGCATCTCCAACTTAGATAAACTACAAGTCTACAACTAAGCCATCTTTGAGAACTTGAAAGCGCTTAGTAGATGGTTAAAAAGGTATATCACCTCTGCCATAGCATCTTTCTTGCTGCAAATGTTCTCCAACTCACGGAATATAAGCCTGGAGATCTCAGCATGCCGGTTCGGACGGTGATGCCCTCCATCTTCAAAGCAAGGAATCTGACCTGTGTTTATCCACTGCATAATATGCCAAACAAACCAAAACGAAGATAAACAAAGGTTAAGTCTCAGATAATATGAGAGAAGACAGATAAGGCTACAAAGAGAAAAAGAGAAACCTTCAAATAAACTGCAGAGTATATGAGCGCCTTCAATCTTTCCTCCCTCTCAACACTCCCAACTATAACCTCCCTTACCATTTCAAGCTTCAACACATGAACAAATTCAACAATAAGAGATGTTTCATCCCAAAGTGAAAATTTTTAGTTAGTGTCTTAGTCCGAAACCAACTTTTTTTTAAAACAGTCTAATCTTTCAAAAAAATCATCTAATTCTCTATAAGGCGCCTAACCACCACCTAGCGATTTCTTAAACAATGCTTTTAACTAAAGAGTACACATCCAACACATTAGAGATACCATTCTCCACCATTTCAAGCTTGAACACATGAACAGATTCATCAAAAAGAGACCTTTCATCCTAAAACTGAAAGCTTTTTAACTCATAGTAACATACCTTTCTCCACCAGTTCCTAGAGTTACGATCACCTTCCACCATTTTAAGAGCAGGACCATCAAGCCCACTAGCATCCCAACTCCTCCCAACTTCCCTGCTTCCATGCTCATTAGAACTCATAAAAGAAACATCTTTCCCTCGCCACTGCCCAACCAAAGCACTCTTCCCAATCTGCACACCATTCTCACTCCCCACTTCACCAACATCCTCCTCCCCACCATCCTCATCACCCACCTCCTCCTGAGCAACATCAAGTGCTTCTCTAGTAGCATCCCAATGACAAACAACGTTGAAAGCTCCACACTTGGGAACCCTAAGGAGACGATTATCACCAGACTCCCAAAACATTGAACCATCTCTTTTAACAGTAACGAACTTAAACTCCAAAACCTGACCTCCTTTAACCTCAACCTCGCAAACCCATCCAGTTTCAGTCCAAGTAAGAGACATTTTGTCCTTCCATGAGCCAAGCTCTTCAGCTGAGCCAAACATAACTACATGCTCACCGAACTTAACTTGGTGGTTAAGTCTCACATTTAACTTCACTTTCGTTCCAAACCCATCTTCTTTCTTCAGATTTTCCTCACTGGGTTACATCAAAGTTTCGAAATTTGTGAATTAAACAACCGAATTGGATTGAAAGGAAGAGACTTTGATTAAAAGGAAGAGACTTTACATAGTGGAGGAAGAAGCAGAGGAAGTGAGACGACGAGGAGGAGAGATTCTGAGTGGATTTGATTGGTGGAGTGGTCTGGGAATGAAGTGGATGAGTTTGGGAAGAGAGTGAGAGTGAGAGTTTCTGGTGGTGATGAAGGTGAAGGGAGAGACATAACAGTGGCTGCCAATGCTCTCCATTGGAGTTGTGTAATAACGACGATAAGAGTTTTTTTTTGTCAGTCTTCTTCAAGTACAAGATTTGCCATTAACATTCAGATTATACGAGTTTTTTCTTTCTTTAGGAAATTGCAACATGTCATAGTTTTTCATCGATCTATACTATTATCTAAGAAGTAAATTTGCTTAGTTGTCATATTCTCCATAAATTTAGGTAATTTTGTTTATCTATCATATTTTAAATATTTATATATATTTTATGTATAAATAAAATGAATTTAGATGAATATATCATATTTTTAGAAAATAAGATAATTCTTGTGAATTATGTTGTTATCTTGAAATATATTGTTATACTATTATTTAAAAAGTAAATTTGCTTAGTTGTCATGTTCTCCATAAATTTAGGTAATTTTGTTATATATCATATTTTAAATATTTATATATATTTTATTTATAAATAAAATGAATTTATATGAATATATTATATTTTTAGAAAATAAGATAATTCTTGTGAATTATGTTGTTATCTTGAAATATATTGTTATATATATAAATTAAATTTTAAATTAAGATATAAATACTATTATATTTATCTAAAACGAATTTCTATTAATAATTTAATATTTAAATATAACTAAAACGAATTTCTATTAATAATTTAATATTTAAATATAACTAAAACGAATTTATATTAATAATTTATTACTTTTCTAAAATAAGATAATTATTATGTATTATGCTGTTATGTTGAAAATATATTTTCCTATTATAAAATTTAAAATTAAGATATAAAATTATATTATTAGTAATTAAATATAAATCATAACTAAATATAAATCATAATTAAATATAAATCATCAAAACAATTATTTGAAAAGTGAATTTGTTGATTTGTCTCTGTGATCCTAAGTAGTTTTGATTATTTATTAGAATTTCTATAATTTTGTTTATTATTATTGTATAATTAAAACTAACTTATATTAATAATATGATATTTTAGAAATATATTAATTCTTATTTATTATGCTGTTATCTTGAAAATATATTTTCTATTATAAAATTTAAAATTAACATGTAAAAAATCTATTTTATTATTTACAAAGTGAATTTGATGTTTGCTGATTTGTCATATTTTCCATGATTTTAAGTAATTTTGATAATTTATCATAATTTATATAATTTTATATATAATTTATTATCTATTTAAAACAAAATTATATTAATAGTATAGGATTCTTAGAAAATAAGTACTGCTTATATTAAATTGATGTCTTGAAAATATATTTTCCTATTAGAAATTTAAAATTAAGATATTAAAAGTTGTAGTTATTCTATAATTGAAATAAATCTGCACTAACAATATTATACTTTTAGAAAATAAAGTAATTCTTATGTATTATGTTGTTATCTTGAAAAATTATTTTTATATTGTATAATTTAAAATTAAAATAATAAAATTATATCTTATTTTAATTAAATATAAATCATCACTCAAGAAAAATTATTTAAAACTGAATTTGCTGATTCATTAAGTTCTCCATGATTTTAAGTAATTTTAATTATATGTCATAATTTCCATAATCTTATATAATTATTATATAATTAAAAAAATATGCTATTATACTTTTAGAAAATAAATAACTTATGCATTATATTGTCATCTAAAAAATAGGTTTCAATTATAAAATTTAAAATTAAGATCTAAATATTATAATTAAATATAAATCAAGAAAAATAATTATAGAAATATATTCTTTTAAATATTTCTGATGTTTAAGTTTTTCATTGATAATTATTTGATGTTTGATTTTTACTTTTTGAAAACATAAATAATAACTTATTATGCTATTTTTTAAATTAATGAAACATAAACTAATAAATATTCATAAGAGAATTATGCCCGCAAGTGCGGGCAAAACACCTAGTTTTATTTAATACTCTTAAAACGATGTGGCAATGATAAAATAAATAAAATTAAAATAAATAGAGAGAATATAGAGAGAATAGTTTGTTTAATTAAATCGTCTTAAGCCATTCTTTTCTTAGAAAGTACGTAAAGTATAACAATTATTTTAAATTAAATACATCCTTCTTTTTGATCAAAAAAAAAATACATCCTTCTTCTGTATAATTAAATTCATTCAAATTAATTAATTCTATCTTCCTTATAGTACTATTAAATATGTTTCCAAACAATATAAAACATTAGATTCAATCTTTTTTTAAAGTTATTTATCTCCTTTTTAATAATTTGGCTAAAACAGTCAACTAATTTATAAATATTTTTTTCTTTTAATAAGAGAATTAATTAAATTAATAAATTATTTTATTTATATTTTTATAGATAAAAGTTTTCTTTATTTAAAGTTACTAAAATTTTCTTATTAGAATCTTTTTCTTACTTTGTTTTTATTCTTAAAAGAATATAATTATAATGCAAGACTATGATTGGTTTAAGTTGACAAAGAATAATTTTTATACAAATAAAATGTTAAAATCAATAAAGTGACATCAAATAAATCTCTAATTTAAAATTTATCAAATAAGTAAATATCACACAATTAATCAAACCAATTACATAGATTTTATGAAATATTTATAACAAACAGGTTGAAGTAACTTGAAACAAAATTAAGAAATATATATTTTTCATATTTAACTACAAATAATATAATTATATAGTTTTCATATATACCACAATTAAAAAAATAAAATTACGTATCCATAAAAATATCAAAATCTATTAATTTTGTAAATTAGATTGTTAAAAAACATTTTCGTGTTTTAAGTGCATGTCAAAATCTAGTTAAGTTTTATTTTTTTCTTTTTCATTTTAACACTTGTAAGGTGTATTATAATTTAGATTTATGTTAAAAAAATTATGACCTTCTTTAGCAGATTCGTGGTTTTCTGATCAAACTAGAACGTATGTGAATTGTGTTTGTAAATGTAGTGTTTGTTATGCCCTTTTACAAAAAAAAAAGTGTACAAGGTTTGTTCAAAATAAAATGATAACTACTAAACTGCTTGTGGATTGGTTAAGTCTTGACTGGTTAGAAATTTACTATACTGCTTATGGACTTTTAACATATATTTTATAAAGTTAATAGACTTTTGAGCTGGGTTTCTCAATCTCATAAGCGAGAAGCGAAAGCAAAAGTGCGGCGAGTAGTTGATTGCAAATTTGAAAGAGCCCAAAGTATGTACTGTAGCTTTCATTTCATATGATATTTGTCAAATAAGAATCTTTAACTCCAAGTCTTATAACAAGATAATGATGTTTGAATGCTGCAGTGCTAAAATTGCAAGAGATTTTGCTATAGAAGCTGACAAAAGAAGATTTAGCATTAAAGTATCATTTTAATTAGTAAAGAAATATGGTTACCAAGAGATGCAGGAGGAAGAGTAACTGCCAAGTAGAAATAAAAGATGATTTTGAATTAGCATGCCACCAACCAACTAAGCATTCTTTCCTTACAAGACTTCCAATCTTTTGTACCATGTGAAACTTACTTTATAACTTATACAACAAATATATGTATGGTTATGTTTGTGAGTGTGTTTCTGTTTTTCTTAATTCATTAATTTGTTTACTAACAAGCTTTTTAACTTTTCAACTCAAAACCTTATTAGTCAATGAATGAATCTTTTTTTTTGAAGAATATTGTTAAATTAATTCACCCGAAATAAAACATTTTTACAACTAGTGTTGTTTGTGTTTGAAATGAAAGACAAACTCTATCTATCTTTTACAGCATGTTTAAAATTATCTAACAGAGAACAATGTTGTCATGACCTTCCTATAGACTGAATGTTCCCTTATTGGCATGCTTGAGATTCGGTTTCTGACTTGCTTATCAATGATCTTGATGAGTCCTACTGCTGATTGATGCCTTCTCCAAATTTTCTCTTATAGACTGAATCTTATTATTCCTTATGTGTTATATCAAATCCAAATGTATAGTTTATGTGAGGTTTCTTATAATATTCTTCAAAATAATGGTTCTTATAAATAATTTATGTCAGTAAAATTCTGGTATAAAGTGAATTTGGATCAGATTAATATTGGTTTAGATAATCAAAATCTTTGTGTGTTCAGGATATGATATAATGTCAATATGTTTCAAACTTCAAATTGTTTGATAATGAGTGTATTGGTTTTAAATGTGCGCAAAATAATACATTTGAAGTTATATAGTCTTTGGATATTTTCAAGTCAGTAGTAGAAGTTAAATCCAACAATAATAATAGATAAACAAGTGCAATAAACTTTCTTTGTCGGTATTTGCTTTCCAGACACTCCTTTCTCCAAATTAGCCAACTAACTGATTAATATATACATATAGACACCACTTAGTTCATACCTCGTTGTATATATGTACATACAAAAAAAGAGAGAAAGAAAGAAACTAAACGAGAAAACCTTGTGGGGATCTCAACCAAAGATTGAAGAAGAAGAGTGAAAGAATGGTGGCGAGAATAGTTGTGGTTTTGGCATGTATGGTGGTTATGCTACGGCTGAGCGAAGCGGCAGTGTATAAAGTCGGCGACTCAGCAGGCTGGACAACGATAGCTAATGTAGATTATAAGCTATGGGCTTCAACCAAAACTTTCCACATTGGTGATACTGTCTGTGAGTTCCTTAATTTTCTTAACACATTAAAAGATGAGCAGATCTTGATCTAAATGTAATGGTTTCGTTTTACTTATGTCGGAAAGTTGGTCCTTAATGCGTAAGTGCGTAAGGTTTAGGTGGAAAGTAAAAGTACCACTCACGCCCTAATCATTACGATATTTCGTTATTTTTCTAACAAAAAAAAAAGGATAACCATAGAAACTAATATGATATCTTTATTTTTAATATGAAAATGTCCTTAAAATGTAACTAATCTTGATTATGACAGTGTTTCAATACAACCCACAATTCCATAACGTGATGAGAGTGACGCACGCAATGTACAGAAGCTGCAACAACTCAAACCCAATCTCCACCTTCACCACAGGCAATGACTCAGTCACACTCACCAATCATGGCCACCATTTCTTCTTCTGCGGCGTTCCTGGTCATTGTCAAGCCGGTCAGAAGCTCGACCTCAACGTCATTCAACATGACTCCTCAAAGTCACTCTCTGATCCACCGATCTCCTCAGATTCTTCCTCTCCCTCTTCTTCTCCATCCACTACTACTATTCCTGCGGCCGGTGTCCCCGGTCCATCTCCTAGCCACGCTGCTTCTCTCCCACATGTGGCCTCAGCTGTGGTGGTTGCCCTTGTCTCTTGTCTCTTTGTAAATTTTGCTTATTAATTAGGATTATAATATACATTACGTATAAGTTTTTTGTTAAATGCCCGAAAATGTTTTTGTTATGATTTCTCCTTTCTACCGTATTGTTCTCTTTTTTTTCTAATTGATTCAAAATGTTTAGAGTGTCAATAATAAAAAGAAAAGTGTGTACTAACGGTTTAGTTAGTACTTATTTTTGTCAGGGTAAAATTTCTTTGAAAATGCTATGTCTAAAAACAAGAAAGTTTTTATTTTATTATTGATAACAAACCAGAGAAAATATTGTTACAAACCCATTAAACATCTTTTTATTCACAAGGTTGTATGGTCAATATGATAAAGACATAGAGATGTTCAAGCGGAAATGACGTTGGTCACAGAGACTTTTACCATTTCAGCTTCAAAGATAATAGCATCATTCACCAAATACCCTTTCGACGCATCCTTTAAATCTGTAAACAGTATGATGTTGTTCACTCCTACACCGTAACCGGTTCGAANCATCTTTTTATTCACAAGGTTGTATGGTCAATATGATAAAGACATAGAGATGTTCAAGCGGAAATGACGTTGGTCACAGAGACTTTTACCATTTCAGCTTCAAAGATAATAGCATCATTCACCAAATACCCTTTCGACGCATCCTTTAAATCTGTAAACAGTATGATGTTGTTCACTCCTACACCGTAACCGGTTCGAATCGGATACCAAGCTGCAGCTGCATTCGTTCAGCACACAAAAAGAATAATATATTTTATATCAATTATTAATTTTAGTCACTGTTTTTAATTTTTTTTGTGGTTATAGCTTTCTTACAATATAACTGCCTGTGGTTGGAGCTACGTTGGTTCTTTAACCGCAAATTAACTGCTCCCCAGGTGTTTGTGGCAACTGCGTTTTGCCTAAAGCCTTGAGCAAATAAGAAGAGTGGAAGTGCATGTGGTCTTCCTTCTCCATCTCCTTTCGGGTTAAACCCTAATCTCCTGAATAAAAATTAACCAAAATCGTTATATATTACCCTTGACCATTGAAGAAATAACATTACAGTTGTTAATTTTAATCTAAGAGATATTCCAATAACCATAATATGAAAATGTATTAGTATACATAATACGATGAGAAAAGTACTCACCAGTATCGGTCTCCAACTAGAAAATCGTCAGAGTAGTAGAATTTATCTTCCAAGATAGAGAAGTGAAGTATCTTCCAAGTGAAAACATTGGATGGCGGATCTGGAATTTTTAATCAACGCTTATATACAATTTATTTATCAAAATACTAAATACCACCCACGCTTAGATCTTACTTATATTTGTCACAAAACTTAATATACTAATCCATCTCACCACTTTATAACTTCAAGATTTAACATAATTAATCAAATTATTATATAAAAAACTCTCAAATAGCACTTAAACAGCATTTTGTCCCAAAAAATTCCCACAAGGAAAAAATTCCAAAATAATATTTATTAAATTGAAAAGAAGGTAAATTTCAAATTTATTTCGGTTTATGGTTAAGTGAATAGGGTTTAAAGTCTTGCAATTAAAGGATTGGGGTTAGTGTAAGGTTTAAGATCTGGATTTATTTAGTCATTTTATCATTTAATAAATGCAATTTTGGAGTTTTTTTTTTNATTCCCACAAGGAAAAAATTCCAAAATAATATTTATTAAATTGAAAAGAAGGTAAATTTCAAATTTATTTCGGTTTATGGTTAAGTGAATAGGGTTTAAAGTCTTGCAATTAAAGGATTGGGGTTAGTGTAAGGTTTAAGATCTGGATTTATTTAGTCATTTTATCATTTAATAAATGCAATTTTGGAGTTTTTTTTTTTATTTGAGTGCTATTTTTATGATAAACTTTTAACAGATCCTATATTTGGAAATTTTGTTTATAAAATTCAGTAGGAGCCATCTTACCAGGCATGCGTTCTACCCTGTTTGGAGGGTTTGATATGAATGTGACTTTTTCCTGTTGAAGGGCAGGTTTAATGATAAAGATCTCAGCACCAAAAGAACAAGTGTCTCGCATCATGTAACCTGCATTCGTGTTGTAGAGTGTGTTGACATAAGCTTGAGATAACTTAGGAGATAACTTAGGAGAAAGATATTCTAATGAGTTTAGGATAAGAGTTATCAATGAGATTTGAAGTTATCTAGAAACGATGTTTATCTAATGAGCTTAGGGTTTTATCGTTTACTATATAAGTTGATGTAACATGACTTGAGAAGTTGTGAGCTTTGAGTTATTAATATAAGTGAGTACTTATTGAGAAACAGAGCCTTGAATCTTTTGTTTACGTTTCAATAATTGGTATCAGAGCATTATTGAAAGTTTAAACATGGAAGACAAGGATCTAGCTATAACGACAATCAAACCAAAGGGGAGCGGTCTTTCGGCGATACAATGTCCGATGCTTAACACCACAAACTATACGGTGTGGAGCATGCGGATGGATGTAATGCTAAAGGTCCACAAGGTGTGGGAAACAATCGAGCCCGGGTCAGATGATGCAGACAAAAACAACATGGCCCGAGCACTGCTGTTTCAATCAATACCAGAGGCTTTACTTCTGCAGTTTGGAGGTCTTAAGACATCAAAAGAAATTTGGGAAGCAATAAAGACAAGATATGTAGGAGCTGATAGGGTGCGTGAAGCTAGACTGCAGACTTTGATGGATGATTTCAACAGGTTAAAGATGAAAGATACTGAAACTATAGATGAGTTCTCAGGAAGAATTACAGCCATATCTTCAAAGTCATCAGCCTTAGGAGAAGAGATTGAGGAGCCAAAATTAGTGAAGAAATTTCTCTGCAGCCTTCCGAAGAAGAAATACATACAGATTGTTGCTACTCTTGAGCAAGTTCTAAATCTTAACACCACTACTTTTGAGGACATAGTTGGAAGACTAAAAACTTATGAGGAGAGGTGCCAAGATGATGAGCCACAGGAGGAGCAGGGTAAACTCATGTATGCTAATATGGATACACAAAATTCTCAAGAAGGTCAAGGTAGAGGAAGAGGACAAGGTGGACGCTACTCTAACTTCAGAGGAAGGGGACGAGGAAGAAATAATAATCAGAGAGATTGGAAACAAGGAAGAGATAGCTCTAAGGTGGTATGTTTTCGCTGTGACAAAACAGGACATTATGCTTACAACTGTCCTGATCGTCTTCTCAAGCTTCAAGAGATACAAGAGAATGATGATGAGAGCACACGGGAAGCTGAGGAACTGATGGTCAACGAAGTAGTCTATCTCAATGAGGAGAATGTGAGACCAAGTAAGTTTGATGCGCGCACTGATCAGGATAATGTCTGGTACTTAGACAATGGAGAAAGCAACCATATGTCTGGGAACCGAGATTATTTTTCAGTCATTGATGAAAAGGTCACAGGAAAGGTGAGGTTCGGTGATGATTCACGCATAGATATAAAGGGCAAAGGATCAATTACTTTCATAAGTAAAGATGGAAAGCGAAAGATATTGGGTGAAGTCTACTTTATACCGGAGCTAAGGAGTAACATAATCAGTCTTGGACAGGCAACGGAGGCTGGATGTGACGTACGGATGAAGGAAAGCTATCTCATGTTGTATGATCGGGAAGGAAATCTGCTGGTAAAGGCTATCAGGTCTAGAAACCGGTTGTACAAGGTTGTCATGGAAGTAGATAATAAAAGGTGTCTGCTACTTAGAAGAAACAGTGATTCTGCTCTTTGGCACTCAAGACTTGGACATGTCGGACTAGAAAAAACATGAGAGCCATGATGAATAAGAAGATGGTCACTGGCATACCTAATATAAGTATTGAGAAGGAAACGTGTGCCTCGTGCCTACTAGGGAAACAAACCAGAGCAAGTTTCCCGAATGCAACTTCCTATCGAGCTACACAAGTGCTTGAACTTGTACATGGTGACCTCTGCGGACCCATATCACCATCAACTGCGGGAGGTAACAGATACATCTTTGTGTTGATTGATGATCACACACGTTACATGTGGACAATCTTGATAAGAGAGAAGAGTGAAGCGTTTGCAAAATTCCAGAAGTTTAAGAAACTTGTCGAGCAAGAAACTGGTGGTAAAATCAGAACATTCCGAACAGATCGGGGAGGTGAATTCACATCCACTGAGTTCAAGAATTTCTGTGATGATCAAGGAGTACATCGACATCTCACCGCACCCTACTCACCTCAACAGAATGGGGTCGTTGAGAGACGAAACCGGACCCTGATGGAGATGACAAGAAGCATTATGAAAGCCATGGAGGTACCAAACTACTTGTGGGGAGAAGGAGTGAGGCACGCAACGTACATTATCAATAGAGTGGCAACACGTACGTTAAAGAGCATGACACCGTACGAATGTCTCAAGAAGAAGAAACCAAGCGTGGAACACCTTAGAGTATTTGGCTGTGTGTGTTTTGCAAGAAGTGAGGCACCATATCTTAGGAAGCTGGATGACAGGTCTCGGACGTTGATACATTTAGGAGTTGAGCCAGGATCAAAAGCATATCGATTATATGATCCAAACAACCGAAGAATTGTGGTAAGTCGAGACGTTGTTTTTGATGAAAACAGAGTATGGAAGTGGAACTCAAGTGAAAAGGAGACACACAGCTCCATAATGACTACACTCCCTGAGATAGAAACTCGAGATAGCAATGCTATCACTGCTGACAAGAAGGATGATGATCACAACTCTAGTGAAGAAGATGACGTTGCAGGTGAAACTGATGTGCATGACGAATCTGAGGAACATCATGTGTTGAGAAGATCATCAAGAGAAAGTGTGAAACCAAAATACTTAGAAGATTATGTACTACTCTCAGAAGCTATGGAGGAGGCAGAACGGATTCTGTTTTTGATAAATGAGGAACCATGGGACTGGAGTGAGGCAAAAACAGAGAAGGTTTGGAGAGATGCCTGTGAAGAAGAAATAGCATCAATAAGGAAGAATCATACGTGGACTCTTGTTGATCTACCCGATGGATGCAAAGCTATTGGGTTGAAGTGGATTTTTAAAGTGAAACACAACGCCGATGGTAGCATAAATAAGTACAAGGCGAGGCTCGTGGCAAAGGGTTATGTACAACGTCATGGTGTGGATTTTGAGGAGGTGTTTGCTCCTGTAGCAAGAATGGAGACAGTACGAGTGATCATAGCTTTGGCAGCGTCAAGGGGTTGGGAGATACACCACCTTGATGTAAGAACAGCGTTTCTTCATGGCGAGTTACAGGAAGAAGTATTTGTGGCGCAGCCTGAGGGTTTCAAGATAAAAGGAAAGGAGAGTAAGGTTTACAAGCTACATAAAGCCTTGTATGGCTTAAAACAAGCTCCAAGGGCATGGAATATCAAACTGAATCAGATTCTTAAGGAGCTTAACTTTGTCAAGTCATCAAAGGAACCCTCACTGTTTCGTCGCAGGAAACCGAACTCACTACTTTTAGTTGCAGTCTATGTTGACGATTTACTTATTACAGGCTCAAGTCTAAAGGATATCTGTGAGTTTAAGGAAGAGATGGCGTTGAAGTTTGAGATGAGTGATCTCGGAAAACTCAACTACTATCTTGGTATTGAAGTTATTCAGGTACAAGGGGGAGTTGTTTTGAAACAGGAGCGATATGCAACTAAGATTCTCGAGGAGACGGGTATGATGGAATGCAATGCAGTTCACATTCCAATGGAGGCTGGTCTCAAACTGTCAAAAGCATCTACTGAAGAAAGCATCAAACTTACTTGGTCTCACATTCTCCTCATTGAGATAGACTACTTCGTTGACCATCAGTTCCTCAGCTTCCCGTGTGCTCTCATCATCATTCTCTTGTATCTCTTGAAGCTTGAGAAGACGATCAGGACAGTTGTAAGCATAATGTCCTGTTTTGTCACAGCGAAAACAGTTTTGTTCTTCGAAGAAAGCATCAACGAAGGAACTTACAGGAGAAACATTGGGTGTCTTCGGTACTTAATTCATACCAGACCTGATTTGGCGCATAGTGTTGGGGTTCTAAGCCGTTATATGCATGACCCAAAGGCATCACATGGAGTTGCTCTGAAGCAAGTGTTAAGGTATCTGAAAGGGACGTGTTCACTTGGTCTGTTTTATAGGAATGATGGAAAACAGGAACTGGTGGGATACAGTGATGCAAGTTACAATGTGGATCCAGATGATGGGAAGAGCACAACAGGGCATATTTTCTACCTCAATGACTGTCCAGTAACTTGGTGTTCACAAAAGCAAGAGATTGTTGCTCTTTCATCGTGTGAAGCCGAGTTTATGGCAGCCACTGAGACTGCAAAACAGGCGCTTTGGTTACATGAACTTCTTGAAGAAATAACAGATGACGAGGAAAGGAAGGTGGTCATTCGTATTGACAACAAATCAACGATTGCCTTGACTAAGAATCCAGTTTTCCACGGACGCAGCAAGCACATTCACCGACGGTTTCATTTCATAAGAGAATGTGTGGAAGATGGTCTTGTGACGATTGAGCATGTAGCAGGGAAGGAGCAGAAGGCTGATGTCCTAACTAAGGCACTTGGGAGAATCAGTTTCAAAGAGATGAGAGATATGATTGGAGTTCAAAATGTGTCTAAAAATGTTCTCAAGCTTAAGGGGGAGAATGTTGACATAAGCTTGAGATAACTTAGGAGATAACTTAGGAGAAAGATATTCTAATGAGTTTAGGATAAGAGTTATCAATGAGATTTGAAGTTATCTAGAAACGATGTTTATCTAATGAGCTTAGGGTTTTATCGTTTACTATATAAGTTGATGTAACATGACTTGAGAAGTTGTGAGCTTTGAGTTATTAATATAAGTGAGTACTTATTGAGAAACAGAGCCTTGAATCTTTTGTTTACGTTTCAATAGAGTGTTGCAAGAGTAATCAATTGTCTGAATCCCCACTCTTTGTTGGATTCGTTGTATCTTTTCACCGTTCCATCTACAATAGTTGCCAAATAATAGTAGAAATGCGTGGAGTTAATTAGTATATCTTTATTCCTAAGCAGATTGGATCAACTAAACATCTATATACATAAGTACCGGTAACAGTCAAGTACTTGTTATGCTTCTTATTGTAAACAAAGAGTTTGAGATCAACATTTACTTCCCAGCCCTTGGGAAGAGAGTTTGTATCTTCGATTCTTACGTAAAGTGATATATGATTGTTTCCTCCATCGGTTTTATTACCGGTCACGTACAGTATCAACCTCCTGATTTAGTTCATATAAAAAAAAATTATAAAACTATTTCTAATATATTTTACTTTTTCTTTTCTTAAAAAATAGAGAAAGTATATAATAGAGATGAAATTCGTTCAAATATTTCTCAAAAAATAGCAATCAATATATAGAGTAAAAACATTAAATTGATATGTCTCCCTCTATAAATAGAGAAAAATGGAGATAAGTTAAAAAAAAAATCGTCTCAAGATGATATTATAGAACTAAATATGGAGATGAACTGTAATACTCTTAACATTTAAAAGTTAAACTAATAAAACAGTAAATAAAGAATGACAACCATTTGTAACCAGAGGCCTCAAACACAGAGGACTCGTAGGGTTCGAATCTTTCCTTAATCACAGAGAAGCTTTCGATTGTGAGTATCTTACTAGATGGTCGCTCTTCTCTCAACGTTCTTGCCATTTCAACTTTTAACAAATAAAAACTATAACTGCAAGCCTGCCAAGATTTGCCCCGATGCTGCAAGAACTGTTACACATTTATATAGACAAACACGTAACAAAAGTAAATACTGGAAATGTATTGGATGTGAAATAAAAAGAGAAAGAAAAGAATATTTTAATACACGTTCGTTACTTTTCCTGTTTTTGCTTGTTTGAATATGAAAAGTATCTGCTTCGATTTTAACACAATTATGCAAAACAATGTAGAAAGTTAAGACGATTAATAAGGAAACGGCAATATGGAAAAAAATATAGCACGTCAATTGGCTTTAAAACCAAGCGTTTCATTTCACTGATAACAAAGTAGACAACAGACACCCAATGAACAGAAATGAAGGTTACATCACAAACATTGACAACTTCATCTTATAACAAACTCATCACACGCCTCTTTATTCATAAAGTTTGGTTGATCCATGACAAAAGAAGTAGAGATCACTAAACCGAGACGATGTTGGTCACGGTCACGGAGACCTTAACCATTTCAGCTTCAAAGACAATAGCATCATTCACCAAATACCCCTTTGATGCATCTTTTAAGTCCGCTAACAATATGATATTGTTCACTCCCACACCATAATCACTTCGAATAGGGTACCAAGCTGCAGCTGTAAATCAAAAATGATCGATATCAACTATAAATATCTTTCACTCCAAGAGAGACATTTTATTTTGTTTCGTTTTCTTACAATATATTTGTCTGTGGTTGGTGCTTCGTTGATTCTTTAACCGCAGATTAACCGCTCCCCAAGTGTTTGTAGCGACTGCGTTTGGCCTAAAGCCTTGAGCAAATAAGAAAATTGGAAGTGCATGTGGTCTTCCTCCTCCATCTCCTTTCGGGTTAAACCCTAATCTCCTGATTATACATTAACCAAAAGAATGATACTTATTACCAAAGTTCTAAAACGGTATAAGCAGCGCTTAATTACGCTAGTACCTAATCTCATGATTATCTCTTGATTTTGATTAGTTTCCCTACAATATTTCTAAAATGGTATAAGAGCATCTCCAAAAGAAACTCTATAACTTCAAATATAGAGTTTTTTGCTCTCCAAAAAGAAACCTCAAAACTTCAAATTTGAAGTTTTTAAGAGTGAAATTTCATCTTTTTGAAGTTTCAATACTCAAAACTCTAAATTTGAAGTTTCATCTTTTTTATTGCATTTTGGTCCTTACAATTATAAATAAAAATTAGAATTCACAAATACTTTTTGTTTATTGTTTTAATCCATAAAAAAATTTAAATCTTATAAATATTTCAAATTAAACTTTACCTTTTATAAATTTAAGTTTTAGATGTAAAACTAAATAAATATTTATAATAAAATTTAAAATAGTTGCTTGTAGTTTAGTATTTTAAAATATTTCAAAATCAAAATTAGACAACAAAAATGTGGTATTCTATTTGTAATAATCATGTATTTGTATTTATAATTTTATATTTTAGTGTAAGATTTTATTAATTAATATTTTTTATAATTTATATATATGTGTATGTTATTTATCAATGTTTTATGCATTTATATTAACTATGACAAATATAAGGATCAAAATGTAAAATAGAAATAATTTTGAAGTTAAATTTGAAGTTTTTCTTTTGGAGAAGAACACCTTGAAACTTCAAATATAGAGTTTTGGAAACTTTAAAATAGAGAGTCTTTTTGGAGATGCTCTAAGCAGTAACCTGTCTATGCGCAAATATTTTGTCTAGCGATTTTTAGAACATTGGTTATTACACTTAGTCACTACATGAATTTGTATGACAGTTGCATGCTTTGGGATCAAGTACTAACCAGTATCGGTCTCCAACGAGAAAATCAGCAGAATAGTAGAATTTATCTTCCAAGTTGGAGAAACGAAGTATCTTCCAAGTAAAAATATTGTCTGGAGGGTTTGATATGAACGTGACCTTCTCTTGTATCTCAGCCGGTTTAACAATGAGGATCTCGGCACCAAATGAACAAGTGTCCTGCACAATGTACCCTTCGTTGGTGTTCTCGAATGTTGAAAGAGCAATCAACTGTACGAATCCCCACTCTTTCTTCCCTGCGCTGAATCGCTTCACTGCTCCATCTGTGATCCACAATCAACTCAATCATTTTGGTTTATAAACTAGTTTCTAAAAACTTTCTCAAAAAAACTAGTTTCTAAAAATTTTCACAACTTCCAAATAGGTGTAGCAAGCAAAATATGAAAAATCTAATGGAGTATGAATGATGACAATATATCCATGACCAGAGTAAACATTCGTATCGGCTCCCAAAATTTAATTAATTAATATTTTATATCATTCCATCCACATATTGATTAAAACATAGTATATATTGATCATTTGACCCTCAATATGGAATTATTTAAAACCTCGCAAATCTCAAGATCGTTCTTGAATATACCTGTGACAGTCAAGTACTTGTGGAGCTTTGGATTGTGGACAAAGAGTTTGAGATCAACATTGACTTCCCAACCAGAAGGAAGAGATTCAGTCTCTTCGATTCTAGCGTAAAGTGATATGTAGCCAGCTCCACCATCGTGAGTATTACCAACCACGTACAAAACTAATCTCCTGTTTTATTTTGCCATTAAAATAATCTTAAATGCTAAAGAAATGAATTAATGAAAAATAATGTAAAGATTTTTACCATTTGTAACCAGCAGCCTCAAAAACAGAGGACTCGTAAGGTTCGCCTCTTCCCTTAATCACAGAGTAGCCGGCTATTGTCACTATCTTACTTGATGGTCGCTCGTCTCTCAACACTCTGGTCACTCCTGTCAACAAGACAACAAGAAGTATTGAATTTCAATCAGTCATCAAGAAAATCCAAAGAATCACGGTTACAGCACAGCAAGCTCACCAAGATTCGCTTCAAGATTGTAAGAACTGTTGTTCTCAGTTCCTCTGCCTTGTGTGACCTGTTGAAGGAGGAACTCATCAGAAGAGCAAGTGATGAAGAGGAAAGCTAGAGAAATGAAACCTAAACTCCTTTTTTGAGTATCCATTTTTTATGATCTGATTTGGTTTTGGGAAGGATTTACATTTATATAGAAAGACGCATCATGGCACTTATTGAATCACAAATATAAAATAGTGAAAGTGGTTTCATCATGCGATAAATATCATTTCTACACGTTTTCTTTTAAATAAAATATTGAGATTGTTTCAAATAAATAAATAATAGGGAAAATTCCATATAAATACTCCAACTAAATTTTATTAAGCTTTTTAATACCCAAATTTTTTTGCTACCCAGTTTAATACCCCAACTAATTATTTTACCCATTTAATGCACAAACTTTTATAAATGTGTCAATTTTAATACCCAAGCTTTGTTTATTTTAATTAACAATTACGAATAAGTTTCCAATAAAAATTTTAAAATTTCTAAACTCTACAAAAAAAATTGATTTTATTATATGTTAGAGAACTGAAATTAAATAATTTTTTTATAATCTTAAGTTTTGTAATAAGTTTTTTTTTTTAAGTTTTATATATTGAATTTAGTTTATTTACTGAAATAAAAAGTAAATTATTTTTTTTTCCTTCAAAATTATTTTTTTAACTTCTTTCTTAAATCTTAGAGTAAACATAGAAATTTTAAATATTTTTCTCAGATTTTGGAGATTTTTTAAAAACTTTTTGAAACTTATTAATATTGTTAAAAAAATAAATAAAATTTGGGTATTAAAATGGGCATAGTTATAAAAGTTTGTAAATTAAATTAGGCAAAATTATTAGTTGAGGTATTAAACTGGGTACTGAAAATTTTGGGTATTAAAAAGCTTAATAAAATTTAGTTGCGATATTTATATGGAATTTTCCCTAAATAATAATGGGGTTTTTGCCAAAACTAACCCACAACTTGGTTTTAACCCCAATACTAGACCCCAACTTGAATCAAATGCAAATCTAACCTAAAAGGGCTATGAAATTACAATATAGTCCTCTGTGACCAAACAAAAAAACAGAAGACATTTTTACGAATATAACCCCAGTAAGTTGTCTGAGTCGGGCTGAGTTACTTTTCAGT